TTCTTGCCTATCTTAACTTGTGTTTCTAATCTGTTTTTTACTGTACTGTTTTTGATAGGTTGGATTGTTTTTTCCCTTTGTGTAAATACGGATGCAAAAAATGAGTTGAGTAGTTCTGCTTTCTCCCTGTTGCTTGTCACTTCTTGCCACTTTCTCCCACTAGTGGACCAATCATTTCCTTAACTTTTTTCTTGTTTTCTACATGTTGAAAGAAGCTGTTTTTGTTATTTTTGACTTTGGTCGCAAACCTTAATTCATTCTGAGCCTTAGCTTTCCTCACTTCATCTTTGCAGGCTCAGGCTATTTGCTGATATTCTGCCTTAGTTATGTGCCCCTTTTTCACTTTTTATATTTATCCTTTTTGTCTTTCAATTTATCAGAGAGTTCTTTATGCAGCCATGCTGCTTTCTTTTGAGAGCTGTTATTTTTCTTCTTCGTTGATATTGTGCTAGACTGGGCTTTTACAATCTCATTTTTCAAAATTTCCCAAGCTTCTTGAGTTGTTTTCCCCTTGAGGATTCTCATCCATGGAATCCTTCCCAAGCTCTAAGTTTGTTGAAATTAGCTCTCAAGACTCTAGTTTGATTGTGTTCTATTGCTTATGCTTCCATAATGTTGAATTCCAATATTGCATGATCACTCCCCACCCCAAGGTTCCAGTGGTTTCAACACCTTCTATCATTTCATCTCTGTTAGTGAGAATTAAGTCCAATATGGCTGATCCCCTAGTTCCCTTCTTTACTTTTTCGGAGACAAAGTTGTCTGCTAGGTTTGTCGGGAATCTGTTTGATCTTCCACTTGATGCAGAGTTTGTCTCCCAGTTGATGTCAGGGTAATTAAAGTCCCCCATTAGTAATGTGATGTGCTTCCTACATACCTAAGTTAACTGATTAGCAAAAAGTTCATCTATTACCTCTGTTTGGTTGGGTGGCCTATATTATACACCTATGGTAATGTCATTTTCCCCCCTTTTATATTGACTCAAATGCATTCAAGACAGTTTTCAACATTGTTGTGCTCTATTTCTGTAGAGATGTAGTTATTTTTTATATAGAGAGCAACTCCATCTCCTCTTTTATTTGGTCTGTTTCTTTTAAATAATTTAAATCCCTCTAGCTGTGTGTTCCATTTGTGTGCTTCATCCCACCAAGTTTCTGTAATGGCAACAATATCATATCTGCTCTCATTTACCTGAATTTCTAATTCACCCTGTTTGATGCTCATGCTCTGTGCATTGGTGTATAGACCAATGATGGTGAACCTTTTAGAGACCGAGTGCCCAAACCACAACCCGAAACCCACTTATTTATCGCAAAGTGCCAGGGCCGCATCAGCATTGTGGTGCCTTCAGGGGGGACATGGGGGTGTGGCATGGCACGGCCACCTCGATGTTGAGGGAGATCCAGGGGGTCTCTGATTGGGGGGGCGGTGGGCAGGAGTCCCAGCATAGATGGGGAGAGGCACGCAGTCCTAGCTGGGACTGGGGTGGCATGGCACCGATGGGGATCCGGCTTTCCCTCTTCAGGGTGGCCTTTGGCTTGCTGGGCGTGGGCGTGCTGTACCACCTCTACTCAAGCTTGCTAGCTGGCCGCTTCGCCTCCTTTGTGCTGGGTGGGGCTGCCGCTCCGGGCGGCGCTGGCAGCCTAATGGACTTGCGCAAGCTGCTGGCAGCAGCGGCGCACGTGCCCACAGAGAGGGCTCTGAATGCCGCCTCCGGCACGCGTGCCATAAGTTCGCCACCACTGGTATAGACATTTGAGTCCTTTATGACTGAACCTGTGTTTACTTTCTACATAACCTATGCGGTGCCTGAGTTCCCCTATTTTCTTACCACCTGTTTGATTAGTGCACTTTGTGTGGCACTTGCTATTAAAAGCTTGATTTTGCTTGACAGCAAGATTGATATTCTTGTCCACACACACATCTATATTACATGCACTGATAACCCTATAATTTTTAGATTGCCGGGGACAGGAATGTTCTGTGTCAATTAACTCTTTGTGCTCTTGTTGGGCATCCTGTGTAAGACTCACTAGCTATTTGCTATATTTGGTCTATATTTGTCTTTCCTGGGCCGCATTGAGTGTGTATGCATAAACAATGTTAAAAGTTTGCAATCTTGTGGGGCCACATTACTAGTATGCAAGGCCTCACGCGACTTGTAGACTGTGGATTGGATGTGCCTGGTCTAGATTGTTTTTAAACACAAAAATTGCATTGTCACTATTTCCAGTTTTTCACTTTCAGCTTCAGTGTGAAAGAAAAGAATTCAATAGGTGAGGCAAGGTTCATTTCAAGGTTGTAAAAATCTTGTGCATAATTGTACTGATCACATGGGACTTACGTGCGTGTTATAGGCTGCGTGTAACAACAATGTAGCATTGTAATAGTTTTGATGATGGTTAATTTATGAGTGACATTACCCAGAATTAGATGTACTCTAGAGCAAGGGTCCCCAACTCCCAGTCTGTGGACTGGCACAGGTCTGCAGTGTGCCAGAAACTGGGCTGTTCAAACAAGCAAAGCCTCATCTGTGGGACTGCAGGCAGCACGCAAAACAACCCCCCTCCCCTCTGGTTAGAGGAAAAACCTCTCTCCATGGAACCAGTCCCTGATGCCCAAAGGTTTGGGGGGGGGGCACTGCTCTAGAGGAATAATGCAAGTGTTCCTTGGAGTGCTGTCTAAAGGGCAGTTGTTTTTCTTATGCAGTTTCTGTCCATCCTGAAGAGAACTGGATTGAAAACACTGCCTCCTAAGGTCAGGAGAAGGCCTGTACGCCAGGGCTTTGTTCCTAATAACGGTACAAGTCAGTCCTAGGGACTTGATGCAGTTATGCTGGTGACTTTGAATCAGGCTTGACTCCTGGAGACTAACTGGAAATGTCCCTGCCCTTGGCAAGATTTCAGAGCTAGACTGGCCCAAGGTCGTCCACTTGGCTTTGTGCCAAAGGCAGGACTAATCCTCATAGTCTCCTGGTTTCTAACCTGGTGCCTTAGCTACTAAGCCATTGGTCCTCTTCAGTCGGGTTACCCCTGCAATCCACATCTATGCTGGAGGGTGAAGCATTCTGCCACCCTCCCCCCCCCCCCAGCAACACATAGAGGCAGATGCATTGAGCTGGGGTCTGAGCCTTCTTTCATAGGCATCTCTCCACTGCCCCTGAGAAACTAGTTTTGCATGGTCAGAGGGGAGGAGGACTGTCAAACATCATGGGAACCTCAAGTCCAGTCAGCGGGGAAATCCTGATACTTCAATTAGTATAAAAGCAATAGAAGGTTCAGGGCGAGGTACTTTCTGAAACTGTATTCTTTGTATATGTGGTGTGTGTGTGTGTGTGGGGGGGGGGTGTCTTCTGCTAATTCTTCTCTTTTTGGTTCTGCTTTTGTCAAGATCATCCGTGAAAGGGCCTGCTATAAGTAAACCTGGAGGCCCATTTGCCAAGACATCCCAGAGGCCCAGTGAAGCCAAACAAATGGCCTTCCTTGATTTTAGGATGGCAACCGCATGCCAGCCTCTGGAAAGACATAGTTCAAATCCAAGGCAAACAGGAGAGGTCCCCCTTTGATATTGGCACATAGGCTGTGAGTCTGAAGAGAGTTGAGACTGATCAGGATCATGGTTGCCTTGGCAGGCCTTCCTTTCTTCCCCAACATCCCACCTTTAAAATGGAGTGGAAGGGAGGAAGGAAAACCACACACACACACCCAACTCCAACCTGCACTTTTGAACCTGAAATGGCAGAACACCCTCTTCTCCCCTCCTCTCCGCGGCAGATATGCTGGCGGACAAAGGAGACCCTTTAAGCCTTTCTTCCCTAGGTGAAGCCTCCCCCCGTCCTGGTACTGTAATTCCAGCCGCCCTGCAGCTGGCGAGGCGGGTGAGGGGACCCAGGGTTTTCTAGGGAACGGCTTGCAGGAGCAGCCGCTCTTTCCCCCACCGATGCAGACCTCTTCCGACGTGATCGCAGCCGGCACAGTCGGGCCTCCTTCCTCAGCCGCTCGCTGAGCCTCGGAGGAAAGGCCCGGCCAGAACCTTCGGCGCCCCACTTTGACACACGAAGCTGCTGGAGGGCCTTCGAGGGAGAACTGCCCAGAACCGGGCGACAGTTTAATCCGAGAGCAAAAGCATCGCAGTCGCTTGGCTGCCTTTTTCAAACCTTGAGCCAACGAGACAGTTGTCAGGATCTTGAAACTGTCTTCTCTGCCCAATATCCACACGCGCCTCCTAGCTCGCTTTATAACAGCCCCAATGTAGACACGGTTTCAGGGCCGTCGAAGAAGTGGGCTTTTTCCCCCTGAGTCCTCCAGTTTCGCCTGGGACCGACTTCGGTTCGGTGACGGGAAGAATGGAGGGCACATTCCACCTCGGATCCTCACCAGACAGGCCGTCCTCGAAATTTAGGAACGGGGTTTTCCTTCATGTAGCCCAGGCTGCGGGAAAGTGTGTGTATGTGTGGGGGGAACATGTGGGTTGGGCGTCTGCCCATCCCTTGGAATGTCATAGAGAGTGTGAGTGACTTTCAGCACAACTGACTGGCATCACCTTCGCCCCACTGATGTATGGGGTGGCATTTTGATGCCCTGTGAAAATCAATACCTTAAATCGGACTAGCGTCTCAGGCTTCTATCGGCGGTGCCACGTTCTTCCTCCCTTTTTTTAAAAAATGCGTCCGTTAGCCTCCCTCATCGCCCCCCCCCCGCTAGCGCAGAATTCCCCACCGAGGAAAGAGGTGGGCGGTGGGCGGTGGGGAGAGATCCTGGCTAGAAGGCATTCTTCGTCTTTGGAGATTATTAATATCGGCTTCAAAGGAATCTAAAACTTGCTAGCAAGCGAGAAGAGTTTCTGAACGTTTTGTGTGTGTGTGTGTGTGTGTGTGTGTGTGCGTGCGCGCGCGTGCATGGGCGGGAGGGGGATGAGTGGGAGGGAGCTCAAAGGCTGAACATTTTTTTTCAAGGCAAAAGTGTTCTCCGTTCCAAACTTTGTCTAAACTTTCACTTTCAGAGCTCCAAGGCGGGGTTACAGACCAGCATGGAGTAGAGGCACCGCGAGAAGGAGCCGCAGCAGCCCGAGTTATGCAGCTGCTCGCCTTGTGAACACAATCCCGCAAAAGCAAAGTCCAAAAGCAATCATGTACTCCCCGTACTGCCTGACCCAGGTAACAACTACGGCCTGGCGGGGGAGGGCAGCGGCGGCGGCAGCGGCGGGCGCGGGGAGGGGTGAGCGCGCCTTTCCCTTACGGGACAGACTCAAACTCTTTTGCTGTTTGTTTGTGTCTTGCTTCGCTTTTTATCTCTCTCTCTCTCTCTTCCTCCCCCCTTTTCCTTTTGCCTTTTGAGTGCGCTCGCTCGCTTGTTCGTTTATTTGTCCTATGTTGTTGCTGCTGCCGTTGCCGCCGCTGCCAGTCTTGCCTCCGCCGCTGGTTTGAGAGTTATTTCTGTCGCCTTGCGTGGTTTTGCTGGGGAAGAAAGAATTCCTCGCGTCTTTCCCTCTGCAGAGAGCAGGGAGAGGGAGGGAAGTTAGGGGAGAGAGAGAGGGAAAGAGAGGAAAGAGAGAGGTGGCATCTTTCCAAGCTCTTTGTTATATTCACTGCACACGGGTTTAGGAGATCAGAAAATGGCGCTTCCCCCAAATTTATTTTAAAAAAATTAACGGCGGGGATGGGGGGGGGGTGGAAGAAGAGATAGTAGTAAACCAGGCTGAGTTACCGGTGGCGCGGATGAGACTATGGCTGGAGAGATGGGGGTGGGAAAGATAAAGCCGAGGTTGTTGCGTTAAGGGGGAGATGGGGGGGGTTATTTTGACGGGCTGGCAAACTTTCTAAAGTTCAGGAACAGTTTTAACGTTTGCTTCTTTCCGCTCTTGCAGAACTGAAGTTGCACATCAGTGGCTGTCCTGGGTGGGCACCGGGTCTTCTGGAGAAAGGAAAGGGATTAAGGAAAGGAGGGGGCCACTTTGCGCTGGGAGGGGTTTCCAGCCAAAGGCGGTGCGCTACCCGTGATAATATTTTTTGGCGAGATTGGCTTTAGCCCCAGTTTTAAAGTAGTTCTGTCCCTTTTTCTGCTTCCCCTCCAGAGTCTGCCTGATGAAAGTTAGATACTTTTCATAATAAACGTTATTTTTTTCTATTTTAAAATAATTGCTTCTTTTTACCACTTCTAGGACAACCTCAGGTAGACGACGGGGTTTCTTTTTTTTTTTTGCATACAAGTTTGATACGTTTGTATAAATTAAAAAAAATTGGCGCCTTTTCAGGTTTAAAGCAGGAGCAGCCAGACCCCCCTTTTGAAGAGGGGAGGCCCCATTTGGGGGACCCTCTCTGTTTTTTGCCCTGCGTGATCTCGGGCCTGGCGGCGGAGTCGGATCTCTCCCTTTCTACATTGGATTCGAGGCAACCAAATAGTCTAACCTTCCGCCGAGGTCAGAGTTCCCGCAGGGACTTGCGGAGCTCTGTGGAGCCCTCCGCGCTTTGGGAGAGGGGGAGAGAGGGTGCCTTTGGCGAGAAATAAATCTCTGTAGAAGGTTGTTATAATTCGGGTATAAAGGTGGTGCTTTCTGGAGCCAACATATTTACTGGCTGGGGGGCACTTAGACACAGGGTGAAGACAAGATTTGCGGTGGGAGGGAGTTCAAATCATAAAGAAATCGAATGGCTTCGAGACTCCGAAGATTTTAGAGTAGCCTCCCCATTTCCACTCTCCAACGTCCCCGGAATTGGATCAGGCTAGTTGGCCCAATTTTTGTGACCAACTTTCTCCGTCAGCCGGCACGGCCTGCCCTCCATAATTCCCTCTTTCCTGTCAGCAACTCTGGGGCTGCTTTCTGGACGCCTTCTCCGCGGGGATTTTGACAGATAATGGCTAGGCGGTGGGGCGCGGGAGGAGGCAGGCGGGGAGACGCGTCGGGGGTCACCAGCGCTTCTTTGCGCGCAACGTGCCCGGTTCCTCGAAAGGCGAGAGGAAAAAAGGTGGGCGCCGCGGAGGTTGTCTCCCGAGTGGGCGAAAAGGCAACTCCAAACGACCTTCTCAGCACGAGAAGGAGCATGCTAGAACTGTTCTCTCTGCCCCCCCCCCGTCACCCACCCCAGCTTCGCTAGCAACTGCAGGCCATTCACACATATATGGTTTGCCCCTTTTGACATTAGAATGAAGGACGATTTTTTTTCCAGCGCCCCAAACTGTCTCTGAAAATACTCCGCGCTTATTAAGAAGGTGTTAATGAGGATAAATGGGCAAGAAGGCGTAGTTGTCCCCCCCCCCCCGCTTCTTCTTCTTTTTAGAAACGCGTGCCGGAGGGCGAGGTCGAAGCGTCAGGGCAGTTGAAAGAATTGGTGCCCCCTTGGCTCTTCAGTCAGCGCCAGCCCCGGGCAGCCCCGTCCGAGGTGCGGAGCTGGACACAGCTGTGCCGTGCGCGAGCTGTTGTGTTTGCGCGAGCTCTGGCGGGTGAGGGTGGGGAGCGGGGAAAAGGAGCTCCTCCTGCCTTCCCAGGGACCAAGACCAGAGCCGTGTGGCGCTTAGGTGGCGTTCCCTCTGAAAGTTCACTTTTTCCTCTGCTGATTTTGTGATCGATTTGATGAGGATGGCTGACAATCTCTCTTGCAGGGAGAAGGAAAAATTCGCGTGATGAGCGGGGGGGGGGGGATTCTCACTCTTGCTGAATAGTGAAATGCAGGAGAATATCAGTTTTCTTGAAAAGTGGAGCAGTTATTGTACCAGTAAAGTTTCTTGGGATTTTAGCAGCAGTTGACATTTATTGTTATAAGTATCCCTGTCCTGCAGTTGTGTACTACAAATGAAGTATAGTTTGTAAAATTTAGTAAGTGGCCGAAGCCTGACATTTGATGGGCTGATTGTCAATGTTTGCGGTCTGCCAACCTTCTGCATGTTGTGTTCATAATACACATATTTGAGTATATGTAATAAATTTCCCATATGTCTATGTACACGCACATAACATACACGGATGAATATATATGTACTGCATGCATGGTTTTCCTTGTAGTGACTTGAAATGCAGAAATCATGTACTGTTTTATACTTATTTATACAAACATTTTATGCTTGCCCTTTCAATTATAGAATATTTAACAGTAATGCAGATTTTATTTGCTTCAACCAAATAATATTTCTAATGGTAGATCTATTAGAACTAAACACTTTTTGGTGTTTTTCTGATGGATTTTTATTGTTGTTAGCTGCCCAAATGGACGGCTATATAAACTGAATATAACTATCAAACAAATACATCTAAAGATAAATGTACTCCTAAATTTCATGTGAATTAGTATGCAAATAATAAAATACAATTCTATAGTAACAAAATATTGTCAAATAAGTTGGTATTTAAAAAGGTTGCAATATAGTAAATGAGTTAAAAGTTTATAAATGCCTTTACGAATTACTTTTTTTTTAAGTCTAAAAAATTATGTCTGCTGATAGGCAGAAGTACAGTCCTGTGCATCTTACTTGATGGTAATATGGCGTATTCACATTTTTATTTCTAAACCTCAGCTTGATGTCTTTTAATCAGCTTATTAATTTGTTTTTTTAAAAAAATGTGACCATTTTTGAGGATTTTAATTTTTTTAAATAAACTATTATTAGTTTATTAAATAATTTGATGTGGGCTTTGTTCTGTTTGGCATACTTAGTTTTAGATACTATTTAGATATAGTGTTTAAACATATATGGGAAAAAACAATATTCTGGGGGAAAAAGGCCTGAAAATCAATCACAGGTTCAAACCTATTATCCTAATAGTTCCTAATTTAAGGGAAGATACATATTTTTGTGGTAGACGTAGCCTTTATATTGTGCTCCTTTATAAAGATGGTCAACATCAGTTCCTAGCTTTTTAGCTTGCGGTCTAGTTGACGGTAGACAGGAAAGTACCTGCCTGTATATCCTGCAAGGCCGGTGCTCATGGTAGGTTCCAGAGGGTGTTTTTGGAAAGGGGCATCCTTATCTGGCTTGATGTTCAATTCTTTGTTTTTGTCTTGCCTTTGGGTTGATGCCAAAGTAGAGTCTAGTTTCATTCCTGCTTCTGAGAAGGAAAACCTTGTGCTCTTGAAAAGAGTTGCCTTTTGTGTTTGGTGAATTGAACAAACCTGGCTTCACCTATGGCAAATGCCCTCAGTAGATAACAGAAGCATTTTCCTCTTCACTCTAAATTGTTTGTTGTTGTTGTTGCTACTACAATTCTTAGGCCTGGTCCTCTGTTCCTGTAGCTTGGACTTGTGATTACTATCCAAATTGCCTCTCCTCTTCTCCATCATCCTCTGCGGCACCCATTTTTTTCTGTTTAGTGTTCTATCGGTTTGCAGGTCTCCAACCAGAACAGCTTAATATTAAGCTTGATCCTTTCCTCTCAGATTAAATATAACTCTCTATTATACTCAACAGCATCTGATTCTGTTAAATGACAACTTTGGTTCCACAGCCTTGACTTGCCCTAGTATCTCAGGCAACCAGTCTTATGTGGTGGTATGGAATGCTAGGAGTCACATCTTGAAGTGGCCATCATTGTGGAAATGGTTCGTTTATTCTGTGGTAAAATGCTGGACTCTGACACTCAATGTACTTCATCATTAAACTTGATCTCTTTTGTATTCTTTTAAGAAGACTGTGGTCTGTTAAGGAAAAATAGTTGACATTTTAGTTCTGCATGTATATCAGATTTCTAGGAACATCAAAGTAGGTTGTGGAGATAGGATCAACCAAGGCATGTAGACTGTTGGGTTTGTGTGTGTGTGTGCGCGCGCGTGCGCGCGTAGAGTGAGAATTTTACAGTTGGTGTGTATTTAGCAAAGGAATGTGAATGGGTAGGAATTGGGCCTGCATATTCTGTTTTTTAAAAATGTCTAAAATTATGTGTTCTCTTGTTTTCATTAAAAAACCACCCTTGAACACGGCCTTTAAGATCACCATTTTAAGTGTGATGTGTATGTGTATATGTATAGGTATAGATTTATGTATAATAAAAAACAAGCAGTTTTTTAAAATCAAAATGAGTATTTGTGGGGTTGGTTTGATAAAATACACATTGCATGTCCTTGCTTATGTTACATTGCCTGTTGACCATGAAACTTTTTCTCTGTAACTACAACCTGCATAGATATAACACTGGCTTGTGCAAATACTTGTTGAGTATTGTAATGGC